AGCCAGCAAGGCTGGCTGAGGAATTCTGGGAGTTGAAGTCCACACATCTTCAAGTGGCCAAGGTTGAGAAACACTGGTTTGAAAGAATAAACCAGGTCCTTTCTTTTCCAACCTGTTCTTTGAGCCACGTCAATTGGAAAAGTTGTTCAACCCCATGCTCGTTTCCTCCAGAACTCAAAGACGCAACATGGCTTTGCTACTGATCTCCACTACTGGATCGGGCGCGATGCCACCCAGGATGAACAAGGGGCTGCTGCTTTCTACGTGACTCAGCTGGACGATGCCCTGGGAGGGAGAGCTGTGCAGCACCGAGAGGTCCAAGGATACGAATCGGCTGCTTTTAAAAGTTATTTCAAAAAAGGCATAATGTGAGTGATGGAAACCCCGAAACTTGTGTATGAGGTGCAGAAAGCCTCTCCTAATCCCGTTTCGTTTATTTTATTTTTCTTCTCCTGTTCAACTAATGTTCTTCTCCTGTTCAGCTAATAACCATGAGGTCTAGTAACCTATTCCTTTTAAAAAAAAAAAAATGAAAGCAGGATTCTAACTAGCTCTGTGGCCCTCGCTTCTATTGACTCTTCTTTAGAGCAGGCATGCATTTTTCTAAAACTCCCCCCTTCTGTGATTAAATATGAAGTCTTGTTTCCAACAGCTACAAGAAGGGGGGAGTTGCTTCAGGATTCAAGCATGTGGAGACTAACATGTACAACATCAGACGACTCCTTCATGTTAAGGGCAAGAAGCACGTGTCAGCCACAGAGGTAAGGGAAGAGAAGCCTGCTTTTCCCCACCCGCAATATCCATTTAATATTTTTGCATTCTCAAACTAAGCCTCAAAGGACGCAGTTGTCAGCCCCACCAGGTAGACCAGACCAGGACATGAACTTCACAGAAAAGCTAAAACTACTTTTATTGAGACTGTAATAACAGAATCTTGCAAGTCTGATTGTGCTATACAGGTAGTCCTCAACTTACAACCATTTGTTCAGTGACGGTTTGAGGTTACAACAGTGCTGAAAAAGTAGACTTGCAACTGGCCCTCAAAGGTGCAGCCATCCCAGCACTCCTGCCGTCACAGGATCACCATCTGGGTGCTTGGCAACCCATTCGCACTTACGACCGGTTGCCAAGCACCCCACAATCACGTGATTGCCATTTGCAACCTTCCATGCTGGCTTCTCCAGAAAATCAAAGGGGAAGCCGGCAGGAAAGATTGCAAGTTGCTGGGGTAAGTCTCCCCCACCCACACACCCTCCCCCAGACTCTCTGTACTCATACCGCGCTGGCCACTCACACACCCCCGCACACACTCCCCGACCCACACCACATCCCCATGCACCTGAAACCCACCACACCCCCACATCCTCTCCAGGTGCAGCCTCACGCACTTTCCCCGACCTGCACGGCACCCCTTCACACCCTCGCACATTCTCCCTGGCCCTCCCTCACACTCCCTGCGCCACGCCACACCTCTCGTGCACCTTCCCTGGCCCTCCCCCTCACTCCCTCCCCGACCCAGCCGCAGCCACATACCCGCCTGCCAGCCTGGGACTTCCAACTTCCTGCTGGCTCCCCCACTGACTTTGGTTGTAAAAAGTTGGCAGGAAGTTGCCTTGCCTAACAACTGTGGGGTTCAGTTAACGACGGCAACCAGGACTGCACGGATTGCTGTTGCTAAGCAATGCAGTTGTGCTTTACGACTGCACCCCTTAGGAATGGAAATTCCAACCCTAATTGCCGTCATAAGTTGAGGACTATCTGTATGGTAAATTAAATGAATGAATAAATGAATAGCTTCACAGATATTCCGTCTCTGTGGGTATGTAACCTCACCCATATAAGATACCATAAATCCAACATTGTCAGAGGTCTCTATGTGAGTTCCCATTCAGCATCTGCTAAATCAATTTTCAGGCCATTTTAAATCCATGGAGTCTGAAACCGATAGGACCTCAGACGTGATTGGGACGATTCCTTCTCTAAGCATGGATTTCATGATTTGAACATGAGAGTCACTGCAGATGAGTTTCAGGGCTGAATGAAGAGGGTTGATCTCAGCTCACTCAACACCCTCACTTCTCTTACTGAACTCTTTCATGATTTCCTGGTGAGCATCCAATTCCTTTTACCTCCAAACAGGTCGATCTTTCTTGGGACAGTTTCAATAAGGGTGACGTCTTCCTGTTGGACCTTGGTAAAGTGTTGATCCAGTGGAATGGACCTTCCTGCAACGTTGCTGAGAAAACGAGGGTCAGTATGATAATTGGAGAAGACTATATTGATGCAGTTTTGGAGAGTCAAAATGCTAATAAAGGTTATAAGAACCTAAGCAGTGCCCTGCTGGATCGGACCCCTGGCTGATCTAGTCCAGCAGTCTGTTCTCATGGTGGCCCACCAACCGCCCAAGGATGCCATGAGTCTCCCAACAGATGACCTTCAGAGGCAGTTCCACTGCCATCAAGGCTGAGCCATCGATCCCCCAGACTTCCATGAATGGGTCCAACCTTTTTTGAAGCCAACCAAGCTGGTCGCCAGCACCACATATCATGATAGTGAATTCCAAAGTTGAATTACGGAATGTGTAAAAGAAAAGTTTATGGAGTTGAGGATGGCCACAAAGGTAGAAAAGTGCAGTCGATGCCAGAGGGCTGTAGGGGAGGGAGTGTTGAGAATGACTGTAGGGCTTCACTGTGCTCCCAGACGGATGGATAGGCAAGATTCAATGCATGTGTTTGATGGTAAGTTCTGCAAATTGAAGCAGGTTGGGGCCAAGAACATTGTAGAGACAATATTTCTCATCTAGTGTTCTCCAGATGCAATGGAAGTACATGTTCCTAAATTTCCAGCTATCTTGGGAATTTCGAGAGCCGTTATCCCAGCTGTTGTCCCATTCCCAATTACACTGAGAAGCCTCCATTCCTCATTTGGCCCCCGAACCAACAGTTCCTCATCCTGAGCCAGATTCTTAGCTTTTTAATTCTCAAAGCTCTTCTTGCAATATGAAGTTGGTTTCACCAAGCAGGGTCTTCTAGAAGGCTTTGGTCTCCCAGCCTTGCGAAATGATACCATCCCTGAGATAAAGAGGTGGACAATTAGGTTGTGGTTTTCACCGTGCCCGTCTTATCGTTATTGGCCAGGGAATGATCCTGGCACGAAGCATCCGGGATGGCGAGAGAGGGGGCCGTGCCCAAATTGGCATCATCGACAACGAGAAAGATTGTCCAGAGCTCCTGCAGATCATGAAGGCGACGCTGGGAGAGAGGACCCGAGAGATCAGAGATACGCTACCAGATGAAAAAGCAGATGAACATCAGAAAGCCAATGTCCGCCTTTACCAGTAAGTTCCTGTCCTTCACAAACTTGGAGAGGTATTTTTCCTGTTTGCTGCTTAAAATGGCCAAAGCCTGTGGTTTGTTAGGAAATAAGTGCAGAAAAATGAATTCTGCAAGTATGAAACCCAGAATTTGGGGCGGGGGGGCGGGGAGAAGGGACACAGGCAGCCTAATCAAAGTG